ATTGCAAGGCGAGCGATTTCGAGAGACTTTTTTATATAAGAATAGCAATAATACATAATGGCTTATATACAGTTGATACAGCGTGTTTTATACAAGCATAATAACTAATTAAATCCAAATCTTATGATATAAGATTTAATAATAACATCGCGTCATACTTTTGAATATGTTCTACAGGTCGCTCAAAAAATCATGGGTACAAGAAACTAAAAATTAAGATAAATATAATTATGTTTTAAACTTTTTACGTTGTTATTAAATTCCAGTGATTAATTAATTCACATAAAATCTTCACCCATGTCTGTTGTAAATAACCAGATCGCATATTTTACGGCATACGATTTCTGATAAATATTATAATAACATACTTTATATTACTAGCTGTAGCGACTCCGTCCGAGCAGTAAAAAAAGCCTTACTAAGTAGCCTTTGTGTATTTTCAGACTATACTCTACATTGAATTTTATCAAGATCCGTTGAGCTGGTCTGGAGTTACCAAACATCCATCCATCTAAATATTCGCATTTTTAATATTAGCTTATAGAGAAATAATTAACGAAGGAATTATATTTAGAGTCAGTTAAAATTATCAGTAGTAAAGCACTGTTTGACCGGGGTAAACAGGATTTTACGTAGAAAAAGTTTGCACACCCACGCTCCGAGGATAAACTAGTGACCGGTGGTGGCCGGGCACCGCCCAGGGAGGCAGCCCGCTACACTATGTATTTTATTTGTTTAAACTCAGGTACATTAATATACGCAAATCCATGATTATCCTCAGATTTTTTTACCTTTCATCTGGTTTTTCCACAGGTAGCCAGGTATATATGAAATTGGTGATAGAAAAGTTTATTGTTTGTGTTTTCGTATATATGATGTAAGAGTTTATATGTATATATTTTCGGCTTAACTTGTTTTATGTATACATTCATTTGTTTTTGTATTTAAAAGGTCTGTCATAGTTATATAATATTATAAAATTTTATTCATCTCTATACTTACTATGTAGTTTCGTCATCTCTTCGATCCGTCTACGGCGTAGATGATGTCATTACAACTATCTGACGAAGGTAGTGGTTAATTTGATAGTTAAGACAATATTTACTATGTCCTTTTCATTGTACTAAGTACCTATAAGTTTTTTTTTTCAGTCAACAACTCTTCACCTTTAATGTATTGGTTGAATTTTGTCTCATTTGAAAGATATAAAAAATATAAGCTTTTTATTTAAAGTGAGAATTGTAACAAGCTCGGCGTGAACGTGGCCGGGGTGGGTCGACGGGGACGCTTCCGAATCGAAATGGCGCCACGCAGTCTGGAAAATTACGACGAATTAAATAGGGAAGATACTTTTATTGCTCTCAAATAAAATAATTTAAACAGTGTTTTATTTTTGTCTTGTTTTTGAATAAATGTATTACAAATTATGAATACATTTGATCTAATAATTGTTAAACGAAACTCATTTTCTTTGTTTAAATATTCTTTGTACAAAGTAAAGAGGTAAAGAGAGTATACAAACACTTTTAATGGCGAAATCTTTTTATAGGGTACAGCAAAGTAACATAAAACCATTAATAAGCCTCTTACCCGATCCGTCTAAGTCAACATCGCGGGATGGGGCAGAGGGAGGAGAGCGTTGCTATAACGACGCCCGGGGGCGCGGACCCGAATTTTATCGATTGATACAGCAGCCGGGTACAGGGAGAGCTCTGAGCCAACCTAACACGATTCAACGCCCGTGTTTGCGTATCCCGACGGTTTAAGAGGGCTTTGACATACAGTAACACGTAGGATCCTGTTTAAATAGCTATTTGCAAACGCCCGCACACCAAATTGCTTCTTACGTTGTGTGTAATTTTCATAATGAGGTCTGATTATGTAAATTATATAAGCTAAAAATTAGGTAAATGCCAGTCCTTTTTTTCAGTAATAGTACATGGTTACCTCTTAAAGAAATAGCTCAAGTTAAATAACAATTAATTATAAGGTCGATTAACGTATTTTTATCATCATTTTTAGATGTTTAATGTCATTAGACCATGGGCTTACTCAACATCTTTAAAACAACATAATAAATAAAACCTTAAAAGAAAACGTTCGGCTTAAAAAAGCAAACTCTTATTAAAAATGTAAAAGAGCTTATAACCTAAAGCCTAAATGGCAAATAAAAAATGGAGCAGTAGTTACAGCACATCGAAAACATAACTCTCGAAGCGATTTTTGACTGGAGATAAAAGGAGCATGGGGTCGTAAGGGTTGCCGCGACTCTCCACTACACGACCCCCGCCTTTCAAAACCTCCCCCTGTGAATTGTTACCAGTTGCGCATATTTTTACTCGCAAAACAATCCTTTGTTCGCTGCAACAACTCATGCCCGATCACTAATAAATGTATATTAAAAATTTTATTTATATGTCTCCCTTACCATAAAAATCAACTGTGATACATTTAAAAACTTATCCATTTTAAATTTAGCTGGCAGTTAGACGTAGGGCTGTGACTGAGAAGAGATGGTTGGAGTGGTACGCTGGACCACCGACTCTGTGAAGACTGAATTACTTCTAAGATTTGTGAGCGTAGCACTAATAATCTTTATATGTGCAATACCTGATACCTATCACATTGCAAACATATCGACAATAATTAGGCGATACTCAAGACTTTCGATGAAAGTTACGAGCACAAACATGTTTTGACGTACGACGGGTAAAGCACGAAAAGGGAGAAAGTATTCGTATTGTGAACATCGACTCCAATGTCAGTGTAATTTTAAAATATTTCCAAAATCGGGATAATGCAGTGTATAAAATATTTGTTACAATGTTATTATTGATATTACATTTATGCAAAACAAATTAAAACCCGCTGGTTTTTTTTAAACACAATATTGAGGTTTTTACCTTGCAGGTATTCACCCACGGTTATCTCTTATCACAATGAAAGTACAACTTAAAATTCATAAAGATAAAAAAAACACGAAACAATAGAACCGAAATAAAGGACAGCCACAAAGAAAACGGGCAGAGATAATTTTTTCCCAAACGACGCCGACGAAATTCGTAAAAAGTATCACGGAGTCCGATTAACATAATATCCTTGAAGATGTCCCTCACAAAAAGGGGCACGAGGGGACAAAAGTCCGGGATACGGTTGCCATTGAGGCGTGGGGGAGTGGGGTGACCACCCTCTCCCTGAACGGTATAGCGCTCTCTCTCCGTGGTGTCCATAATTTATGCCTGAGAGTGGACAGCGAAAAGAAATGAGCATCGGGAAAGATAGTAATTTTTTTAAAGGAATATGACAAGACCATCGCCATATAATAGTTATGGCAATTATTCTAACAAGATGTTTGTAAGAACTTTATAATGTGCTTACAGCATCTAACAAAAGGGCAATATGATGGTTACTCCATGATTAGAAGACTAGAGTAATAATAAATTCAACGTTTCGTATTTGATAAACCGTTTAACTAAACTTCACTTGGAGAGAATGTAAAATGCATCTCTCGGTACGACTTGGTTTAAAAATTATTGTAACCTAAATCTTAGTCACCCTATAAGACCTGGGCATAGCATCCTACGCCATATACGTCATAATATTGTATTTAATTTGTATGTATGTGGGCGATGTGTTCACTCCGTGACTAGTGGGGGCGGACCCCGCACTTTTTAACTTGTAATTATTGGGGTCCTGAGTGTCTCTCGATTGTTTTCATTCGATGTTTCCTTATTTGAGGACTTACAAATGAATTAACGAATTGATCTTCTTTTTTTAATTTTATATTTGAACATTTTAAAGTACTAACAATCGCACGCGACTTTATCCGCGTGGAATAATAAACACTGACTTCTAAGTCAAGCCTAAAGGCTATTTCAGGCTGCAATCTAGCTCTATTCTAAATGTTATCTAGATCAACCGTCCTGGAGTTAGGTAGTAACCAAAGTACATCAATCCATTCAAACTTTCGCATTTATAATTTTGTAAGATTTATGGTAAGCAGTAGATTTGTTTTAAAAATATCAAATAAACTTAAATAATATATGTCAGTGTAAACCCACCTTTAGCACTCTTAGGCTTAGCACGACAGAAGCGTAGGTATTAGGTATCTGTTATTCTGAATAAGCGGCTTAACACGTCGCCGTGTTAGACCGATTGCACTTAGGTTGCCTTTCGAGCCGATTATAATGTATTAGAAATGTTTTGTTGAACACTAACATAAATAATACTGAAATAAGAGTTATTTGAATCCAAAATAATAACGGCCTAATTATATGACCTATAACACTGCTGGAAAGAATACAAATGTTTTTGTATACAGCATGTTATAATAAATGAACTTTCTAACGCCCCCCACACTAGTTTTCACTTTATTAATATAACTAGCAGTTGCACGCGTCTTCGTCCGCGCAATTAAAAAATATATTAATAAATATCATCATATATCATATCACCCGGGGATAGTGTAGCTTTCCAACGATGAAAGTATTTTTCAAATCGGTTCAACACTTTCGGAGCCTATTCAATACAAACAGACAATCAAATCCCGTCTACTTTATAATATTGTATAGATGGAAAAGATAATAAAACAATTATACAAAGGAATATTTTAATTACATTACAAGATGTCAAATATTTGACCACATCATGTGTAACCAACATCATCAGACAGAGTATTTAAATAATAATTTATACTAAAAAATATAAATCTATTCATGATTTTACTCAGCTCCATGCTATATATGTAACCGTACGTCTTTACACTTGTATCATATAAAGATGTCCCTTTATTTTTAGACAAAATAGAGATATGTTTTTATACAACATCGCAACAGTAGAATACAACAGTTACATTTGCAATTTGTTATACAACTGGCAATTAGTTGCAAATCTTATTCATCATCATCAGCTCACTATACGTCCCCACCGAGGGGCTCGAAGCCTACCCTAAGTTAAGGGTGATTAGGCCATAGTCAACCACACTGGCCAAGTGCGGGTTGGTTGACTTCACACATATCTTTGAATTTCTTCTCAGATATGTGCAGGTTGCATCACGATGTTTTCCTTCACCAAATCTTATTACTAAGTACATAATTATACATTCAGTGAAAACCTTCCTTTAAAAAAATATAAATGCATATTTTTGTTGTTGTATTAGTAATTTCTTCAAAAAATACATTATTTATTGTTTGTCTAACATTTTCTTATTGCTTTTCTCTACTACATATTATGTAAATTGGTGGTGTAAATTATTTTAGTGTTTAGAAATATTTTTGTACTATCTAGGCATTCCTTAGTCTTTAAAATCTATATTTATTAATGGTCCCTTATTTCTATATCTTTTATTAACTTATAATGACACAGGTTACTCAAATTTTAGTCTAACAAGATGTTACGTCACAATAATGAAATAAAAGGAATTATTTAAAAATCAATAAAAATTACGAAACGTACAGATAAGACATGAACGATGACGTCATAACGACATACTTTTTACTTTACATCTTCCAAGTGTTGTATTATTTTGCACGCATAATTAAAAAGATAAATACGATATCGAAGCGAAATTAAAATGGCTGTCTAATCAATCTATGTAACCAATTGTGGTGTAGTCATAATCAACAATTTGCACAAACTAGGAAACTGTTTATCAATAGCATATTTGAACCACATGGAGTTATCCGCAGCCTCAGCTTGTGATCCTTCAATTTGCATATAAGTGTATGGTGCGAATGCTAAATGATTGCGGAGACTGAACTTAGATTCAGCATTCGGAATGATTTTGTTCAGCATTGCTACAGTCTGTTTGTTCAGTTTGCTGAACACGTAGCCTTCTTCTCGGTTGCTGAGGAAGTTTTCGTGATACAGACAAGATATTACATCAGATGTGTACGCCTTTAGTAATTGTCGATGTTCGAATTCGTGAGTATTTTTTATACCGTTGTTTTGTTTGTTCTTTAGTTTTGAGAATATTTTCCTGTACCTGTAAAATTCAAATAAATTAAATTTTTCATATTAAAAATACAATAATAAAAATACATTGGACGACTACAGTATTTTCTTTAAACTACTTTAAATTAAAAATTGTAATTTATATGGAATAAAAATACAAAAGTAAAAAAAAATTAGGATAACAGTTATCTTAAGTGTACTGGGATCACCCTGTATACAACACTGAGCCTTGCACGAATATTAGTGGATATCGTATCATCATCGACAAAAATTGTATTAAAATTAGTGCAGTGCAGCAATCGGACGTAAAGAATACCAAAAACCTCATACTAATTTACATAATTCATGATGACGACAAATATTCATTATTTTAAATATAGGCAGCGCATATCCTACGCGTGTCTATAAGTTATAGTCGCTATTTCAGCGATTTCAGGGCGGTCGCTCGTTTGCCACCTTGTGTATAAAAAATAATGCCAGGATGACGGAGATGTATGTATGTATACTAACATAAGTAAGAGGTGCACGAGTTGTTCCAGTGTGGCAGCAGAGGGCGCCAGCAGCGGCAGCGCCAGCAGCAGCGCGGGGGGCGCGGGGGGCGCGGGGGGCACGCCGCATGCCGCGCCCGCCCCCTCGCCCGCGCACACCGCCGCCTCCGCGCACCGCCGCGCCGCGCACGCGCTGCTCCACAACACCAGACCGTTACCTGAAATACATACATACATTTATATCTTACATAACAATATGTTTTAAACGGGGATTTTGAACTCGGAAACCCACGGTTAATCCAATATAATATCCGATGCCAATATTACAGATATACAGCGGGTTAGTAGTGGTAATCGTGGGTTTCTGAGATCTAAATCTCTGTTTAAAATGTATTTATTTTTATATAATTGTTTGGACAGTAACCCATGGTAATAAGAAGATATTTTTACCTGGGTTTATTTGTAAGCCTTTGCTATACAACTGTGTCAACAACGTGGCAACTCCACGTAATATCTGTGAGTATTCTATCCGAGGTGAGTTTGTACTCATGAACAACCTGCGATCTCTCACACTGGTGTGCACCTAAAAAAATAAAAAAATCAAGATTTGAAATTGTAACCACAAGTTTCCACTATGCAAACTAACTAATAAACCCAGAAGGGTAGGCAGAGACTACAGACTTCCAATTGTCATCTCTAACCACCACTAATTTTAATTTTTTACCATTAATTGTGGAAATTTATTGCATATTGAAAATTTTATTCAATAAATTATTAATAAGTGACGAAATTTTTATATATTACTAACTGTACCCCGCGACTCTGTCCCCGCGGAATTAAAAATAAACTTAATAAGGAACCTATATGTTCTACATCTATGCCATATTTCAGCAAGATCCATGCAATCACTCTACAGATACTTTCTAATAAACATCCATCCATCCAAACATTTTCATTTATAATACTAGTAAGATAGTAAAAATAAAATTAAAAAAATATAACTCACTAAATTAGCATACATTGCTGACAAACTCTTGAGCATAACACACTGGTCCATTGAATGTGCTCGGCTGTATATCTTTATTAGCGAAGTCATTATTGACTCAATGTATTCATAACAATCCGTACTCAGCCATTCCACTAAATCCATTATCTGTAAATGATTATATATAAAATGTACATAAAGTAAAAGTACCAATTAAAAATTAATCCACAAGTGAGAAAGTCAGGTTAGAGAGAAACCCTTATAAGCGAGAAAAGTATCTCTTTGGGTTCTCGCTTATCCAAATCCTAATATATATATTATATTGTTTATAAGACAGTTATACAGTAATATCAAAAGAAACGTAGTCATTTATCTACATACTGCCATTTTTACGAGTTGGTCAATATTTTTTTTTACCAAAATAAGTATCGGATTCCACCAGTCATCTAGAAAAAATAGGAATGACATTTGTGCAAAAAAAAAAGTAAAAAACAAATGTGACAATATAAATTACCTCACCAAAGAAGTCTGTTTCGTTCCAAAAAGCTATAAACTGTGCAAGGAATCTGGTCACAATGGGAATGCCCTGCAGTATTGTGCGCTGGAATGTTGCCAGTCTGTGCAGCAGATATTGCTTCTCCTCGTAACTGTATGGTGATTTGTCAAAGAAACCTGACAATAGAAATTATGATAGAACTTTATTTCAATTTTAATAACAAATTCTAAACTATACAACAGTGAGAGGTATAGTGAAACGGAACAAACCGGTCACTGATTTGATAAAAACATCAATTTCACTCTATTTGTTCATTTGATAAAGAGGGAGTTTAAGTTCATTGTGTCAAGGTCATTATTGCAGTAATACAGCGAACGAAGTTTTCGTTTCACCAAAATTTGGTAGAAAACGAACAGTATACAGTCGAATCTGGACAAGCGAGAAACTTCTATAAGCGAGAATCAATGTCCGGTCTCTTGGTTTCCAGTATTCTCTCTACTATACTATACTCGGATTAGAGAGAAACCTCTATAAGTGAGAAAAATATCGCGGTGGCTTAGTCTCTCGCTTATCCTGGTTTGACTGTATATTTTACACCAACACTTACAATGATTGAGTAGATGATGTAGGTCATGTGAGAAGAAAGCCTGTTCAGTATCGCTGGCCAGAGCTAACAATATGGTGCCCGTGTCGTTGCAGAGCAGAGCTCGCAGTCTCGCCGGTCGGCTGCTGGGCCGGCTCACACTGTGCTTCAATAGAGATACTGGACTGGGAAGGAAATACCAACACTTGATTGTCTCAATTTGGATATATAATTTGTATTTGTTTTGGCCTTGGAAAAATGGTAAGATTTTCTTAAGAATGTTCCAATATGTACAAAAAATAAGTACAGCTGGATCTGAATATATGGGAGATATAAACTAGAGTAAGAGTGAAATCTCCATAAGTGAAAAAAAAATATATCACGGTCTTTAGGATTCTCATTTATCCAGGTTTGATTGTAATTATATATTTTTTTTATGCTTAAATAAAATGTTACCATAATATCATATTTTCTTATACTACTCGATATTGGGCTTCATTTATTTATTTATATTTTTAAAGAAATAAATATCTAGAAATCATTTTTTTTTTTCGGAAATAGACTAATGATATGATAACTTACCTAGAAAAATCAAGATATGTTTTCTGTGTAACTTGTTCAGTGTATTGCATTGAACCAAGCTTTAAAAATTCCATGTTTGGTATCAGTGGGTCTTTCTTATTCCTTCCAGAGTCCTGAACAAACAAACCTAATGTTGTATAAATTTATATAAATAACCAATTTAAATGTTTATAAAATTACTTACACAATTAATTGGATTAGTCCACAGCAAATACTGTTTGGTATTAAACAACAAATTTCTTTTGCTCTGAAAAAAAAAAATCTAGATTTTTAATTTCAGTACAATACACAAAAAAAAGTAGTTGAAAGTATGTTTTATATTTCTTATGTTTTGTTAGGTCTAAGGCTTAAAAAAAAACAATACCTGACTTAATGTGAATCGATTCAGAAGGTTCGCATTTATCTTCCTAAAAGATGTATGTATGGATATGGATGGTATATCTTCAGGAACACATTCTGGTCTGTACGACTTGAACAATCCCAAGAGAACTTGAATCTGACGGTATAAATTCTGAAAATATATAACAGACATTATTTAGGATTTTCAAACAGTATTACTTAAATAATGCTGTTTATTTGATCATCATCATCAGCTCCTACATCCCGCTGATGGTCTCCGAGCCTCCCCTATGTTAGCGGTTTATTTGTTACATATAGACAAATTTTCCAAATGTCTTATTTTATGCAGACTAAATTTCATACATACTAATAATCAAATTAACACAACTACAACTTAACCAAAAGTTAACATGATATTTACATACCTTTTTTGCTTCCCTTTTCTTTGCACAGTCTAAAAGTTCAACAACTCTTCTTCTTGTAACATCACTTGGTTTAGTCAGATTGTACACCAATTTTATTGAATGTGGTGCCTAAAAAAATAAAAATCATGTTTAGCAAGTTAAATTGAATACTGTCCACCCTAATTAAGATAAAAGACCTTAAACATAAGTATAACTATGTAAATATCATACAAACCAATGCTTCATATGTCAATGTTGAGTAAAAGACTTCATATCCAATATTAAGAGCATCTAATTCAACACAATTGCAGTCCATAGCAGCTATAAAAAGAAATCAGAGTTTGTTACATATCAAAAACATAAAAATCTTCCGCTTATAAAGCAACATATTACTGCTTAGTTGACATATCATAATCAATTAAATTAACAGAGAAACGATAGTAGGCTAAAACTAAGCAACAAACATTTTTAGAATAACTTGTAAATTTCTTCTAACCTGTTAACCAGTCAAGTAAAAAGCTTATGTTTGAAAAGTTTGATTGATTATCATATTTAGCTAGAAGCCAACGTAGAGCGTAGTCAACAGTAAGTTTGCCGATTTTTTCGTTAGGAACTAAACAGGCTCCCAGATTTATCCATTTCGTTATAGCTGAAAATGAAATTAAAACTGTAAAGCCTCTCGGATACCAAGAAAGACACTAAGAAATCATTTTGATACTTACGTATTGATAAATTTAACCAAACTTTGAATAAAGTATGGAAATCATTATACTCCAAGCCTTCGTTTTCAACAATATAAGCAAGTTCATCTATTTTACTTTGAAATAAGTCCTTATCAAAACCCTTTCTTAATGATTTAATGTAATGAATTATATCTTCTACATCTGTCATTTCGTGCTTTTAATTGAAAACTTTTAAATTGTATAAAAAACACAACTACACAAGATAAAGCAAACAATCACAATACAAATAAGAATAACAAATTTTGAAATAAAAATACGTTATTATTTGACATATGTCGCACCGTCGAAGTATTGACTTTGGTAAAGCTGGGACATAGATTACACAGATGTATTAAAGGATTAGTCCTGATACATTTTAATTGCAAGGAAAACGAAAGTGATTTAATGTTTTTGAATTAATGGGATAAAATATGATGACTATGACATCAATCTTCTTTTAAAAATTTCATATTTTATATAAAATAAACATATACTCTTTGGATCTCTTCCCTTAGCAACAAGTGTACGAAGGATGTTATTTTAAATTATTTTGGTAGGAATAATTAATTTAAGCGTTAAACCTTTTGATTATATTGATTATATTTATATACAAGATTAATGCTCAACACCTTTTGCTCTTTAAAATACATGAACTATTTCAACAATTTTTTCAAAATAATTCTTAGGTAATTTTTAGAAAAAACACTACAGACCTTGTAAACGCAAGAATTCTTGACTAACCGCGACAGCTTGCTACGTGGGGTAGCTATAATATATTTTTTTCTTAAAAATAAGCAAATAACATTGGTTTTCACACCGACATTTAATTGGAACATAAAATCCTATGAGGTACCACTCTGGGATATTAAAATGCCTCCAACTACTTAAAAATGAAAGATTAATTAGAAAATCCATTCTAATTGTAACTCTTGGACTAAATGGATATTAGCCAAAATTGGTTTAGACCACGAGTGTCACAAGTGGAAAAGTTAGAACGTTTATCTCCTCGATGGCATTTTCAGCCGATTTCATGTCCGTCAGATGGCTTATTATGATAACTCTGCACTTCACGATTTTATATTTTAAGTTTTATGGTAAAATTTAAATTATTCAGGCAAGCCAAACCAACCATAGACAAAATTAAAGCCATCCGTTATTTTTTTGCATCTCTCTTCTACTTGAAATGTCAAAATGAACGAATTGTCGTTTGAAGTAAACACAGTATGGATATTTGCCAGTATAGTATTCAATTAAAAATGGTCAAATTTATTTAGTCAAATAATTTCTAATTAGTGTATAATTTAAAGGCTTCAATATGTGGCCCATGTTATTAAATATGACACGCGAAGAATGTCGCCAGACGCTTAGGAGACTTGGTATATATTTAGTACTATGGCATTATTTTTCCCTCCTATGATTTTATTATATTGAAAATACTGAATAAAGTTGATTTAAAGTTTGGAAATATGTTATAAAGTATTACTAAGTAATCTGTCATACATTTATTTGTAGAATTGGAAGCCTACTCGAAAATTATGAGTGTGTTAAGAGCACAAGGGGCATTGGAAGAGAATAGAAAAAAGTTGCTTGAGGAGCTCCGTGCGGTTTTACATATAGGCAACGATCGTCACAGTGCCGAGGCGCGTCGCGTGTCTAATGACGAGTTATTAGCGACGATTGCTGACCAGTAAGTTAATATTTCCCACATTTGTTTGGGCCTCTTGATTTATTTTTAAATCAGTGTTCCACAAAGTCAAAGATGGCAGATATCCACAGTTCAAATGGTGATGTTGTCTTACAATTTTTATTATACCTTTTCTTCATTTTTATTGATATTTCTAATAAGATTTGAAACAATTGTGACATTCAAATATTTTTTCTTTTTACTCTGATGCATTTGATAACTTGATAATATGGTAACTCATGGAACTTTGGAATCAATATTAGTTTTTTTATTTCTTTGAAATAAATGTGTTATAGTAAGTTAATGATTGATTATATCAAAAGAATTATTTTTTTATTTTGACAGATAACCTATAAGAAAGTGATTTATTGCATTTTATGTATTCATTTTCGTTTTTTTTCTTTCATAAACTATCTTCCTAAGTAAAAATAAATAGTGTTAATAATTTCGATTTACTTATATAAATATTTTATTCAAAATTAATTTACTTGGAAGTGAATTTAAATTATGAAGGTACATTTTTAATGTAATATTATAGTTTTAAATCAATCATTAAATTGATAATTAATAATTGTTTATAATGAAGATATAACTATGTAGTAAAACATAAATGCATACAATGTAAATATAAAATATATGAATAGATCCGTTATCAAATAATTCCATATTGAAATAATTCCTTTTATAATCCGGTAACTAACTTATATAGAAATTGGTCTGAAATTTGAAACAACCTTTAGAGGTTGTGTAACTTTAGTATCAGACAAATAAATAACAAATACTATTTCTTTCCTAAAAAATAAAATATTACAATGAAACATTGAATTTAATAATCAATTTAGAAATACTTTTAAAAAGGAAAGTGCATATCTACAAATTTAATAAAAATAGAGTAATATCAATTTAAAGTAAGGATATGTAAATTGACAAGTAATAAATATATAATAAATATTTAACATATAATGCGGAAAAAACTAATTAACTGAAAATTTAATTTTTTTTTTCTTTCATAAATAACAATTTAACATTTCAACACCTTTGATGAATAAAGTTACGCCTTATATAGAGATTCTGTAAATGATTTTATTTTTTATTTTTTGTAACCGTTTTTTTTATTGAAGTGGTTGATTTATTTAATTGAGTAATCATCACAATGTCAGTCCCTTTCCTTATCCATTTTCAAATATTAAAAAAATGATAAGACATCCATGAACAATCAATATAGATTAAATAAATATAATTTCCAGATTAGCTGGACCCAATACAGGTATAGGATGGATTTGCGAAGGCAGAAGACGAGTACCACTCCTGCCACGGAGTATCCCACAAACTGCGTACACAGAGATTGCGGATAAAGCCGCGGAAGCAGCTGCGGCTGAGAACAGGGAGTTACAGAAGAAACTCGAAGCAGAAAAACTGGTAGCACCAAAATCCAGCGAAGAGCAACATCCGGACCCTGAAAGTCAAACAGCCGAAGGAGCACCAACAAACAAAGATATGGACGAGCTATTTAATCCACCTATTGCCATGGAAGATGAAACTTTGAAAGTAATTTTAATCTTACTATTTTACTAATATTACAAATGTGAATGTTTAAATCGATGGATGTTTGATTGATGGTATCTCCAGAATGAGTCCATGGGTCTTGCTGAAATTTGTATATGTAAAACATAGTCTGAAAGAACACATTGGTTACTAATTAATTTTTTATCAACAACTAGTTTAAACGTAATTCTTTGAACAAAGTACCCCGATATTGTTAATTTTTTTTGTGTTTGTCAAATTATATGATACTAAATGGCTTTGTTTGGCGCTTGTTTGATGAATATTTCAATCTAATGAATTTGACACAAATTTTGAATGTTTAACAGTTGCTTATTAAATGCTAATATAACAACAACTCACGCCCGTTACCCATAGGGGTAAGCAGAGACCACAGACTTTCTGACTCGCAATATTAATATAATACTTCAGTATTACAAAACAGGAATACCTGTGATAAATTAAAATACAACTATTATTGAAAAATTATGTGTATCTTTTTACAGATGTGGGAAACAGAATTGATCTGTAGGAAAAGGAAAGTTCCCGAAGGTGGTGCAATACCAGAGGAAGGGACGACGCCTGTTAAAAACATGAGAAATATACAAGTCAATGCAAACCAGAAACATGTTAATTTATCTCAAATATACTCAAAATACTCACAGCCAGCTTCAAGTTAGTATAAATTAAACTTAGACCCTAATTACCAATAACTTTTTCATATATTTTTTTTTAAAAACCATTATTAAAAATACATTTTTTAGAATCTTTTACGTATTAATACAATTAATAAATAACAATTTTCTTTATTGTAAAATATTTTCAGGTAAATCTTCAAGCCAATCGAAACACTCATATAATCAAGTAAGCAAAGTATCAACAAGTAAATCAAATCAACAAAACACATCAAGAACAACCCACAAGCACAGGACACACAAACAAAATGCAAAGAGCACACAAGCCAAGACAAATCAACGGAAATCACAAGAACTGCCCCTCTCACCCAACAAACAGTACAATTCTAATGCATTGCAGACAGAATACAATGTAACCCCCAACTCATTTCAAGCAAGTTATGCTCAAACAGTGTTAACTAATAAAAACAAATCGGAATATGTTGATGAAATCAAACCAAAATTGTTGTCATCACCCGGAATGGTCACAGATTCCCCAACAATGCAACTTCTCACGCAGCCAGCGACCCTTCCTCACGAACTGGGCGTCTCCGACAACGCCCACCCTGACGACCCCGCCACCCTACAGGCGCAAAGCACGCCAGTATCTAAAACCACCAGCGGGAAGCCTTGCCATCTCATCATCAAAAAACGTGGCGATACAACCACAGATAAAGTACAAATGTCTGAATTTAAAATATTACAAAACCCCTCCGAAGGTATTAAGGTCCTTTCAAATCGGCAAGTCGTAGTCGCTCCTAGTTCGACGCAAAAGGCCTTGAACACAGGTAAACTCGTCACCACCAAAGTTATAGGGTCCACTGCTAAACCCAGAACACCGAACACAACGGTCCCCGCTGACAAAATGATAGTCGTATCTAAACCAACCTTAGAAAACAAAATTATAACAAATTCGAAAATTATTTTAACCTCCTCTGTCCAGAGCACGCCAAATAAAGAAACCCCAATGGTCGCAGTTAATGCTAATAATATATCCAAACCTACCGAAACCTTCACTCCTAAAGGTATCCCCGCCACGGACTTAAAAGTATCTGCCAAAACCTTTGTATTAAATCCAAAATCGGGTCACAAAATGGTCGTGTTGCCTGCAAAGAGTAGATCTAATCAAATCGGGGAAGTTCCATTGTTACATTTCAAAGGTATACCCACAGCTATGAAATTCGTAGCCGTCAGTTCGCAGTCTAACAGTCAAATTAATAAATCGACTACTATGACGGTTGTATCAAAATCCGGTGTCAACATCGTCAATACGATTCCTTCTAATGCAAAAATATTAGGCGTCGAGCCAATTAAGACTGCCAACCTCGCCGATATAGTCCCAGTT